AGCAAACAAGGCAAAGGTTAACACAGGCAGGCTAACAGGAAACAGATGGGAGTTGTCAGCCTGAAAGTGAGGTCCCGCTAGAGGCCTTCCCTTCAGAGACCACGACTACTTGAACTGGAAATCTGACCAGGAAGGGAGTCCCCAAGCGACCTTGCCTCAGAGCACCTCAGTGGAAAGGATGACAGAGTTCAGAGAGAGGTGATGGGTGACAGAAGAGCAAAGAAAGCACAATTATCTATGGGTTGCCTTAAAATGGCAGATCTCTAATGTAGTAAATAAAGCAAATGTGAATAATTTCGTAAACCTATATAGATAGGCCTACAACTGGAAATGTGTCCTGAAAAGGACTATTTCAACCGTTCAATAGAAATACATCCACACCGGCCAAATCCAGATTTTAAAACTCTCCTGAGGATTCGGGAACAGATGATGAGTAACTGGAATGTAGTATAAAATAATGATCTAGACTTTGTTATAAAACAATAAAATTTATTCTACATAGTAAGCCAAGTATGTGTTATAGATTTACCTGATTCTGATGAAGCACTGGGGCCACAAATTATTACCGCTCACTTTTTAGGGTTAACTTCTCAGCAGCCGCTCAGACCGCCACTGGAGGTGGTCACTTTGGAAACACTACAGAGTGGAACCCAGAGTACATGGGATTGCAATGTGGTGAGCAGGAGGGGACACTATTGGACACGTAGTATGTTTTAGGCATTTTGCTGGACACATTATTCATTCACATTCACTCTTTTCAATGACCTGGTGCCTTTTCTTTTAATTCTTAGTTTAAGTATGAGGAAATTGAGATTCAGCAAAGTTAAGGAACTTGACCTATTCGTACATGATGTAAATGGTAGAAATAGGGAATCTGGGTCCTTTTAATTCCATACCACTTGTCTTTTTTTCTTACACTTTATTATAGGTCAGATACGTTATTAGGGTGCCACATTCTTCCCAAGTGATCAAATGCCTTTTGCTTTTGTTTAGGAAAAGTAAACCAAAAAAAGAAGATCCAAAAAATCCAAAATATCAGGAAGTTACCTTTTTCAAATAAATTCAAGCCTTTATACTGCCTTTATTTCCATAATTTTCTGTTTTTAGTAATCATCATCTTATTTCATTGTTCAGCTTTAAACAATACAAAGATAACAAATCTAATGATTATATTCAGTCAAATTCAGCTACTCCTACTTTAAAAGGTATATTACTGTGTCATAAAAAATAGATGTGTATTATATATCCTGTCTAATATTATCTGTACATAATTGCCTTCAATATATAATTCTGTTACTTTGTTAAATAACCATGCCAGTATCTTCTCGAACCAGTCTAGTTTTAAACATACTATTTATGACTGAATTTACCAGAGATCGGAATTTGCCAGCCAACATTGAATTAGAAAATGCCTCCATTCAAAATTTCCTACAAATGCTCTTTAGAAATGTATTTTAAATTTCATTCTAGTGAAACCAACTTAGAATGAATCTTAATGGGCTAGAACAAAATAGATTTGAGGTTGATTTTTCCCATAAAATATGCAAAGCCCTATTTTTAAATCGATCTTTTCTCTGTGATATTGCTCCTTTTCTCTGTTTAAGAGTGAATTTGTCTAAAACATTTCTTTTTCAGATTTTCTTAAATTACAGTAGAATTAATGCCTTAGAATTGCCAAGGTAGGTGGAAAGTACAGAGAAAGTCTAGATTCTAGACCATGTTAACTTCAAGCCAGCATTTTGCCTGCAGCTGTTCCAGGAATTATGTGCAAGTTTTACTATGTTTAAAACTGTTTTCAGGCTCAATTCTTCAGAATATTATCATTTGTTAAGCAATATAACCATGCACAACTGTAACAAGCCAGAACACTGTTGGGTCCCCCCACCCCCTTACTTCACACATCCACTAGGCAGACTGTTTACACCAGACAGTATCTATGCAAGATGTCCCTCTACATCTTTCTCTTTTGCTTGCTTCTTGTTAGTTACAAAGATACATACTGTGCCAGGCACTAAGCTGGTTTCAACAGCTATTTATTTAGATTGTGTGAACTGGAGCTGAACTTGAACCCAATTAATAGCAACTGAACTTGAACAAACTGATATGAAATCATTACAGGCTCAGTTCCCTGGTCCATTATCCCTAAAGAGATCATCCGACAGCACTCCAGGTGCCTTTTCTATGCCAAATCTTGGTGCAGTGCCCAATCAGAAAGTGTCGGGGGGATTAGAAGTTCGGTTGCATTGGAGTTAGCTCATTACCACATTTGTGATCGCTTTCACAGAGAGGAGAGGTGGTGATCCCAGTGGGCGGGATTGCAGAGAAGGCTTTGTTTTCAGCACCATCTGGCACATGGTTGGCACTCATTAACACAGCACAATGTCAATTAAAATAATAATTGTACACGGCAGCAATGCTGCTTAGATGGGTCCCTACCTTTGGCCTTCCAGCTAAGGATATGGAAGAAAGGGGAAGCTGAGGGGGTGCCTCTGATAGCTATGGTCACTGGGTTTGCATCTATCTTGGTGCGTACACCTTCCCCAAATCATATACTTTTTTTTTTTTAATTTTCATATGTTTGTTTTTAGCAGCAGTATTTCCTTTTCCTTTTTCTTTTTCTTTCTCTTTTCCATTTTCTTTTTCTCTTTTCTTTTCTTTCTCTTTTCCCTTTTCTTTCTCTCTTTTCTTTTTCTTTGCAATTAGAATGAGCCTGACCCTCTTCCCAGACCCTAACTGGATGCCCTATAGCTATCCTATAGCCAGGAAACATTTGCTTAAAGGACATTCCATTCAGTGATATTTCTTCTGCAACTTGAATTTCAGTGTAATTGACAGTTTTAGGTTTTCCTCCTTTAAAGGATACATTCATTCATGGACTCAACCATTCAGGTGCTTAGTAAGACTGCACTATCCTTCCTTAAGAAAACGAATGCAGCTTTACATTAGCATGTCCAGGACCTTGGTCTGGCAGAATCTGCTTTGGTTTGGTCGCAGGAGTCTCCTTAGAAGGCTGTGCTGTGGATGCAGACAGGGGGACAGTCTTTTAAAGACAACTGGTTGGGTTGGAATCCTACTCTTCCCATGTCCTTGGTGTGTGGCCAGGAACAAATCACCTAACTTTCTTTTGGTCTCTGTTTCCTTAGCTGTGCAATGGACTTTAATAGTCATCCTCAAGCTCTGGAATTGCTATGAAGATTCATAAACCCACAGAGCATTTAAAATCATACCTGATGCTTGGTGAGATATTGAGGAGGATAGCTATGACCACATATGCAACACTAAAATTTTCTGCGAAAGTTCCCTTTTCCCTAAGAATGTGCCTCATGTGTACTTAAATTTCCCCCCGAATGATAGAACTTGCTAGCTGTGGTAATGGAGGTTGTGACTACATGGACATTGGTCCAGATACGTTAATCAGCTCTTTCTGATAAGACACTATGATTTAATTCCTTGTCTTGCTAGACTAAGGTGAGAAGAAACCATTTGATATGGGTAAGTTTCTTATAGATGCTTGAGACACTTATGCCATGATAGTTACTGAAGTCTATCCCTTGTTTCCAGAGCAGATTATGTATATGTTAGACTACAGAAATTAGTTGTGTATTTCAGTGCTGTAGGTGGTGATCATGTGGTTTTCGCTGGTTGTGGAACCATGGACAGCATGTCCCCCGGCAGCCTAACCATTTGTGCCCTATGATGCTGAGTGTAACCGGGTCTTTAATTCTGCCATTTGGTATGTGCCCCAAAGCCTTCAAGAAATGGGCTTCCTGCAGGAGTGTTTCAATATCATTTATTCCACCAAGAGAAGATGACAGACATTTTAGATGCTGGAGAAGGATTAAATGCATTTGGTTTAACTAGCAGCACTAAAATGGGCTGCATCTTTGTATTGTTGCTGTTTATCTTCTTTCCCACAGTGGAATTTTGAGCTTCCCCAGGCTGTGATTTGGGTATTAATGCCGAGTTTAGGTCGGGCAAGAGTGTGTTCAGTCTGTGACACTTAGATAGCAAAGGCAAACTGCTCACGGCTATTAGGCAGGAGTTTCTGTATGCCAGCGATTGCATGCTTGTGACTCATAATCAGAGTGATCCACAGCAACGGATAGATGGGCTTGCTGTGGCTGTTGTCTTGGTCTGCTGTTTTTGCCAAAAATGTCAGCATTTCTCCCCCAGACACGCCCGTATGACACATGCACAGTCTCCTTTAGTTGTGCTAACTAACTTGCCGCTAACATTACCGAAAACTTTCAGTATCGTGGAGGAGTTGCCTGGAACCTACCGTTCCCGTGAAGAATAAGTTGGAATAAATAAATGATTTTTTCCTGAACTGATACTTTGGGAGTGTTGTCGGAATTTGTGCCACGGTGTTCTCTCAGGCAGCCCGGTTTCCAGATTCTCTGCCTTGGTTTAACATGGCCCATGCTCGAGAATCAGCAATGACATGTCATGCTTCTGGTTTTTCTATTTCCATGAAGCTGGATCAGTGGTCTGGGTTCCTCTGAAGCAGACACGTAAAAAGCCAGGAGCCTCTCTGGGTTTAATACCAGCCTGTCTCTGAGGTTTAAGGGTGATTCCTACTCTGCGTCCCTCACTCCCCACCCCCACCCAGTTCCCTGACCCGTGGGCACACATACACTCTGCATCTGATCTTCTAAGTTGAATCAGCAGCCTGTATTGCTGACTTGTCACTTAATTCTGTGTATCCTGGCTCAGACCCACCTGTATCCCTGTATGATTGCTCAACCTACACCTGTCCTGACTCTCTCGATTCCTTCTTTAATTTAACAGACATTTATACAGTGCCGCAGGGTGCCACGGTCTTGACATACAGCAGTAAAAAGATAAATAGGATCTCTGCTCTGAAGAAGCTTCCTTTCTGGCTGAGTCTGAAGTTATTCAGTAAACAGATGCACAGAGTATTTCTGGTAACCTTGCAATGGAGACAACTAAACAGGGTGAAGGAATAGAAAGTGACTGTGAGAGAACTGCTTCCAGAGGCGATGGAAGGGCGGAAGAGCATTCCGAATAGAAGGATCAGCCAGTGCAAAGGCTTCTACGTGGGGACCTTGGACATACCGGAGGTGGGTGGTTGAGTAGGTGACTGCCCACCCACGGTGGCGTCGAGTCTCCTGCGAAGCCCTCTGCACCACTTATAACTACAGTTCTCCCTCTCCCTTCTACAGCACTTTGCAGTGACCGCTAGGCTATCTTTGGTGACATCGTCTGACGTGTTACCCTGTATAAGTCAGTCTCTTCGGAACCCTTTGTGGTCAAGGACTATGTCATATTCATCTTTGTTTCTCCAGGATTTAGCACTGTTCCTAAAATTAGCAAGTTCCCAGTAAATGTTTAAGCAAAATAAATGTTAAACAGGACATAAAGCTCCAAAAGCAGAAGGGCTCTGGAAGTAGACAGTCAGGCTCATTCCTGGGCTACAAGTGTTTCTTTGAGGAGTTTGTAATCCCTCAGAAACTTCTCAAGCCAGTATGGGGTTCAAACCTGCCTTGGAGCATCCTCCAAGGCAAATTTAGAGCTCTTTTTCTTTCCTTTGAACACTTTAGATCATGACTCAAAGCCAGAAAGATGCATTTTACATGGCAAGCTGGCACACACGTAAGTATTAACTGTGCTATAAAACAAAGTATATCATTACTATGTGTAACACAGACTGATATTTTCTGTACCAGTTTCTATACCGTCCATGGTACAGAATGCTGATCATGACCCCTTTCGTGGATTTCAAGACTCCTAAGTGGTTTGCAACCCACAGAGTGAGAAAATCCTGCTTTCAAGGATCAAGAGATTCTTCGGAGGTAAACTTCAGAGAAAGCAGCGTGAACTCTACCTGCAGAGCCACGGACCCCTGAGCACACTCCGGCCATTGGTTGAATATTTGCACAAAACTGGCCGAGGCCATGTGGCAACCAGGTGAAGTGAGCCATCCCTGACAAACACTTAGGTTGGGTCCGAGGGGCACCTTTGTAAGTCAGAATTCCGTTGTTTGAGCGCTGAAAAGTTGTTGCAAGTAGGTTTCCTAGTCATTCCGTCCACCATATCTATATATAGTATTATGAATGTTTTAGGTAAACGTGTTGTTTCTAAAATGAGACCGTGGGCCCACTGAGATATAAGGAACTTACCATTTCCTCTGCCAGTGTGTTTATATAAATATTGCTGTCGTTAAGCGTGTTCAAATAGCAAAACTATTTCAGTCTTTTTATCTCTTTAAAACTAATTTAAATCTGAGCATTAAAAGACTGTTTGATACCATATGTTTGTTTTAGATAGGAAATGAAATCTATTCTAAACAGAAGGGTTTATGAAATCTGTATTCTAAACATAAGGGCTTATGAAATGAGTATATAGGAGCAGCAGTTGGGGTAGATTGTTTCTTGTGGCCACGGAGTCCTCCTGTCTAGTGTGCCTGACCCTTTTGTCATGTGATTTTGCTGTTCCTGAACCTCCAGAGGGAAAGTCTAACTTCCTCACTGCTCCCTCCCCTGAATGTGTTCTCAGATGCTTTGTTAAGAATCCAACATTTGCTGGATAGAAAGTCATTTTATTGTGGCATGTAAGTCTACTTGGAAATTGCTGATTTTTCTCCTTGAAGACCCTTTAGAAGCTACTTTCAAAAATGACCAGGGCCTATGAACAAAGAGTCTCACAAGCCTTTCGTAAAAATATCGGATAGGCTTCAAGAACATAACCAAAGACCATCACAAACTGGAAAGATACCCATCACACATCCCAAGTAGCTGTGTACATGGAAGGAAAAAATTAAGTGTTTTAGCGATGTCCCTGGCGTACCTATGTGTGCACCCTATTGCATTTTGAGGCCCAAATATTTCCTCTGTGGAAGCAACTTGGTGCATGCACGCATGTCTGTGTTTTTTCCAATCTAGATGGATACTATAGTAGGAGATAACCTAGACAAGCAATGTACAAAGACACTTCTGATAGCATCCCAACTTCCATGGATAGCTTATAAGGGCAATTACTCCTTTTCTGTGTCAACCTTTTTTGAAAACAGCACTGTGTATTGGTTTGGTTGCCCTGAGAAGACCTGAAGATGAGATTATGATCCTTCACCTCAAATTAAAGAAGGTCTTAAAAAAAAAAAAAAGGCTTGTCTCAGGAACCATTTGACAAGTTCAAATATTAGCTGATTCAGATACCAGCCTCTTAACAGCATCTGCAACTTAATGCTTTTCATAGGTGGTATGTCTATGTTGTTAAATTATGTTATCAAATTCCTTCTAATCTTTGTAGATTATGCTTTAATTTGCTATCCTGTCAATTTTATCAGAATTGTCTATTTCATGCTATTTGGCTATAGGAAATACTAACCTAGTAAAATGCAGCACTTACAAGTAAGATGGGCTTGTGATAAAAGCCACACGAAACAGGTATCACCTTCAAGTTAATAAACATCTCATGTTCTGGTATAATTTGGTTTATTCCCAGGACCTGTGGGAAAAATAGTGATATAAACTTACTTTTTCTGCCCCTTAAAGTAGTCATGGATTTCCAATCTTTGGCTTATTTTATTTAAATTGATTGGAACCATTTATCTGACTCTCAGATATCTATATGTAGAAATTATTGTAAATTCAAACCAAACTCAGGGTGGCTCAATCAGTTAAGCGTCTGCCTTCAGTTCAGGTCATGATCCCAGGGTCCTGGGATCGAGCCCCGCATCAGGCTCCCTGCTTAGCAGGGAAACAGAACCTGCTTCTCCATCTCCTGCTCCCCCTGCTTGTGCTCTCTCTCTGACAAATAAATAAATAAAATCTTTAAAAAAAATTCAGACCAAACTCTATATTCCTCATACTTAGCATCAGCAGGCTCTCTGTCCAAATCTTTCCTTTGAAAGTTAAAGCTTTAATGCTGGTAGCAAGAGCAGTTTGCCGCTTCTGAAGAATCATAGAAACACAATCTAGTTTTATACCTGTGGCCTTTGGATTTTGATGCACATCGAATTTGATGCTAGGAGTTACACAGAAAAGTCAATAAGGATCCATGGATCATTGCCTTGCTATGCCATCGGGTGAATTAGTCTGCTGGTGTAATGTGCTCCAGCTTGTGTAATGGACCTATTTAGTAGCAAGACAACAGCCATATGAAACACCTGGGTGGGCTTCCAAGGTACTTTCAAGTGGATTAGATTTCAGTTATCTAATGTGAGGTCATGAAGGCTTGGACAGCTGGGGCCAGTTCCACATCATGGGTAGACTCTGACACCTGCCTACTGATGTATAAGGTAAAAGGTGCTTGGGGTCAAAGCTGACCCCTGGGCTCCAGGAGTAGATATGGGTCAGCACATGAGGTCTCAAGCAGCAGTTACAAATGTCAGAAAAGTCTCCATGCAGGACAGGATAGAGTCACATTTTCCTTTGGCACTTTCATTAGACGTGTTCCTTGCCAGGGAAGCCTGGTTGCTGTGTTGCTAGATTGAACTTCAATTGATTTATTCTTGTTTAGAATTTTAAGTGCTGTTAAACAGAAACTATGCCTTCCTTCTCTATCAGAAGTCAGGGCCCGAGAGGCACTGAGTTCCTTTAGCTGCCTCACAAAAGGCAGCATTTGGGGCACACAGGCATTGGCATAAGACCATCTTTTTGAGTGTTCCTAGGAGATCACGGTGGCTCCATAATGCACCACTTCTTCCAGTCCGGCCAGGGACTTTGAATGATCCAATAAAATGTAATGATCAAAGGTTTCAAATGCAGCTGATAAGTCATATAGATTTGTGCCCAGGATGCATTAAATTGACTTGTGGATGTTTCCCATCCATCACGAAGGACTTGGTGATTTGAATTTAGTACTTTGATGTTGTCAGTAATTGTTTGCAACTGCAGCTGAATGGCCTGAAGGCATTGCTGATTTCTCCCTTTCTCATCTTGCAAAGAGCTAGTGAAGTAGTCTTTCAGAGGCGGTTCTCAACTCAATGGGAACTGTGGCCTAAAATTTAGGACAAAAGAAAGGTTCCACAAACACTTGGAATAGACCAACATCATTGCCGTAATGAATCATTCCCAATGTGTTCCATGCTGAATCAAACCATCCTCCCAAGTCCAAAGCCACTCCACTGGACACATACTAAGATTCACTTTCTGGTTTTTATAAGGGAATTACTAAAGAAACCATTGGGATATCTCCACTTATTCTTTTAGTAAACATTTTTCATATATCAATCTGCAGACATCTTTCCAAAATGTATTTAAACCAGTTTCTCAATACTTGGAAACAATGCTTTGGATTGTCCCTTTTTGGAGACCTCACTGCTGTTTGGATTAAATTAAAACTCCCCCATTTTAACACCACCTTCTAGTGATGTTCTTCTAAACCAGCTTCCTTTGTCTCCTCAACCACTTGCTCCTACAGTCACATGGTTCATGCCTATTTTCTGGCTGGGCAGATCTTACCAGTATCCATGCATGGATGTCCATCTTTAGTTTCTCAAATCATGTGTCCACCTGCCTATTTTAAATATTATATATATCTTAATCATTATTTTATACCAATTTATCAATTTGTAGATCTTTGTAAATCTTTTGCATTTCAAAATCCTGTTTAAAAAATCCTCCAGGGGCGACTGGGTGGCTCAGTTGGTTGAACCTCTGACTCTTGGTTTCAGCTCAGGTCATGACCTCGGGGTTTTGAGATTGAGCCCCACGTTATCCGGCTACATGCTCAGCAGGGAGTCAGCTTGAGATTCTCTCTCTCCCTCTGCCCCTCCCCACTCACATTCTCTTTCTCTCTCTCTCTCTCAAATAAATAAATGAACCTTAAAATATATATATATAGGGCGCCTGGTTGGCTCAGTTGGTTAAGCGACTGCCTTCGGCTCAGGTCATGATCCTGGAGTCCCTGGATCAAGTCCCACGTCGGGCTCCCTGCTCAGCAGGGAGTCTGCCTCTCTCTCTGACCCTCCCCCCTCTCATGCTCTCTGTCTCATTCTCTCTCTCAAATAAATAAATAAAATCTTAAAAAAAATATATATATATATCTATATATCTATCTATCAATAAGAGCTCCTCCAAAGGCTCTTTTCAAGTAAACTCAACTGTTATCCTTCTAGTTATTCCACAGGTTGTCATAAATCTTCTGAATATTGACTAACATCATAAATATCTAGGAGGTAAGATGGTAAACTATGGAAAACTGAAAGATCAACCGACCAGGCACTGGACTCCTTCATAAACCACAGTAAATGACAAGACTGTAGTCAATATCTCAGAGCCTCTACTGTGGTTGTTGAACGCTGGTGTTGATGTCACTTTTATGCTCATTTATCATTAAGTTGCAAGGGTGATAACATATGCTGCATTAGTGTGACTAGTGTTTGTTTTAAAATAAATGTTGATGATGAAGCAAAAAGCGTTAGGTAGTGGGAAACAAACCTGACAGTAGCAATTTATTTACACATTAGGGGCATAGACCCCGCTCACACATACACACACAAAATTCTCTTGTCTGGGACACTTCAGATTTCCAAAGATTTCTGAATTTAGAGGTTGATCTTTGTTCCTCTAGCACTGCTTAGTTCAATTCAGCATGCGTTTGTTAATTACCCACTCTGCCAGGGGTCCTAAGTGATTGACTAAGGTGAGGTGCTTGCTATTAAGGAGCTTACAGTGTAATGTTCCCCCACCTTACTCCCTCCCTGTCAACTTTCTCATAGTCTTGCTTAAGCACTTGCTCTATCCTTATCTTAAATGTACATACTTATTTGTGTACTGGTTTAGTGTCGCCCATCTTCCTCCAGTTGTCTACAAGCTCGACAAGATGAAGACCTTTGTGTGTTGTGTGCTGATGATATCCAGAGTGCCTCGAAGACTGCCCAGTTTATTTTGGGCATTCAGTAAATGTTAAATTAGTAAATTAAGGGGATACAACCAAAATACAACTACAACTAGACACCTAAGACAACGTGGGATATGACATACCCTAAAAAGGTACAGGGCAGATCTACATTTTGTAGGATTCTCAGTGTACCACATCTGGGGAGATTGCTATTTAAGAAAAGGAACAGGGGTGGCCAGGTGGCTCAGTCGGTTGAGCATCTGACTCTTGATTTCAGCTCAGGGTTGTGAGATCGAGCCCCACGCTGGGCTCTGTGTTAGGAGTGGAGCCTGCTTGGGTTTCTCTCTCTCCCTCTCCCTCTGCCCCTCCCCACCCCCCTCTCTCCCTCTCTAAAAAAAGGGGGGGGGGCATAAATTTTAAGTTAAAAACATAAAAGATGCTTATTTAGAATGATTGAAAACCACAACAATTTATAAATTAATATATTGGAGATGTCAGAAAATACGAAAAAATATTTAATGATCTACTAATTGAGTACATATTAAAATGCCTGAAAATAACTCTTACAATTTTTGACTGCATGTTCTTCAATTACCTCTTCATATGTAACATTTTTCATACATTGAATGAACGAGTGATTCAGTCTTTGCTATCGCATGGTTATTCAAAATGCTGTTTAAGTAATATTTGGGATGTATAAACATGGGGCTTTGCACATACATTCTTGTAATCTGTGAAGCCACTACAGGTTTGCATCTCACTAGCATGGGAATTTTAATTCAATGCTGCATTTTCCGTATAGGAGAGAACTTCCTATTTGTCAAGGTATCAGTGAGAACTGAATTATTCAAATACTGAATTATATGCAATATTATACATTGGGTGAGTGGAAGAATTTTCTGTAGACTAGCTTCTGGCTTTGTGCATTTCCTATCTTGCTTATCTTTCAGTACCCACACCTTTCTATATGGGTACAAAAAGAACACATTTATTTCCGTATGTCAGCTGACCCTCTACCTTTGTGTCATGATGCTTGGTGAACCAACACAGTGAGTAACAGGATTCTACCTATATTCCTCACCAAGGAATAACTATACACTATACACACCTCCCTGCTAATAACTAGACACAGTGTTGTCTGTGAACTATACAAATATAGTCTATTGTATTCAAATGAGATACACACCCAACTGATTTTCCCTTTAACTGGATCCCAGAAATGTCCTTGGCCACTCTAGGTTCACCAGGAGGAGTCTTTAGAGTTGAAAGAGATAGAATTAACCTATTGCAATTAAACTATTATACTCATGTAAAGTTTACAAAATCATACAATCATGCGATTGTGTTACTTAGGTTCCTCCTGGGAGCTTGTGCTGGGCCCTGAAGTTACGCTTCATTAGCTCTGCAGCAAATCTGTATCTGGTATTCCAAAGAAGTAGAGGTTATTTATGACTTAAAGACTGGACTGGATTACAACTGATTGTATTAGAGAACAATAATTTAGAGGTTAGAACTAGCATGAACACTGAGTCTGCAGGGCATTTTTAGGCAATGGCAGATGGTCCTGTTTGGCATGAACCACGTGGCAAAGAATGCGATACAAGATGTAATCAGAGAGGTAGGTTGGGGGAAACCAATGAGGTCCTTGAATACCTTGAACAAGAAATTGGAGGTTGATGTGCATAGGTCAGATTCCTTCCTTCCACCTCTATGATTTGGGAGCTTTTATTTGGCTTTGCTAATTAGGGTATCTTTAGTTGTGTTTGCTAATGCTTTGTTCCTTTTTTAGTGCATACCTTTCAAAAATCTGGACCTTTGCTTGTATTGAGATTCCTCTGTAGCTTGTCATTGTTTTGTTTTTTTAATATTTTGGATTTTACTCTAAAATGACCACGTCTGTATTTACTCCATCAGCATTACTGAAACAGTGAATTTTGTCCCTTTTTTACTTGCCACTGTTTTTAATATAACACTTGGGACCTAGTGCATATCTAATACATAGCGTTAACTGACTTTAAATAACATGAGTACATCAATATTGTGAAGTAGTTTAAACAATATAAAAAATTCTAGATTTGTGTATATCAACTGGCTAAATTGTGAAAAAGTCAATATAAGAAAAAGCTTGTATCCTCAGAAATACAGCAATAATATACTGTGAGTTGAAGGCATAACCATTTTCAGAAAAAAGTATAATTTCCACTAAAGGTCAGTTTAAAACCCCCTCACTTGTTTTTATAGCAGCGGCACTCCAATTTGAGCAGCTTTCCAAGTAGTGAAACGTCTTTTATCATGTATGTGCCCATTCATATCTGTTGTGTAGCTGGTAACTATTCTGTGAATTACTTGCATTTGTCCTTTCGTGTTTTGAACAGACATGGTTTTTGCAGCCCACAATGAAAGAAAAAGTGATACTGTTCATCAACTTGAAATTCTTTGCTCCTTTTATGGCAATACTGGGAGTTACTTTCCTAAAGGAGTGATATTTAAGACTAAAGTATTTGGACAGCTACAATTCTGCTAAAATTTGAGTTGGTTTCTCTAGTGTGGTTTTTCCATCATGGTGTCTGAAAGCATGTCACAGCTGCCCCATTCATCACAGGCCAGGCGCCAAAGTTGGTCAAGCACTCCTGTAGTGAAAGCGGTCTCTTCTTGGTCCTTTGCCATAAATTCTGCCACTATTGATATCATTACAAGGTTTTTTTTTTTTTTTAAATGGCTCTCCAGATTTCAGTGCAATGCAGTTTGTTAGGTTTCAGTTGAAAAGCCTTCTCTAGCACCCATAAAATCCTTACAAAAAAGAAAATGTAGTTGTCTCCTTTACCAGTGAGGTACTACTTTCACTCATCTTTTTTTATTGAGGTATTGACAGGATCAATAGGAAGAAAATACTGATAAGACATTTAAGCCATCTGCAAGAGAGATCATGCCCTCTGAGAGAGGTGCTGGTGTGCCTTGGCCAGTGGGTCAAGCATCTTGCCAGACATGCCCATGTGACTGTAGCTTAATGTTTGCCTTTTAGCTACTCATCCCCACCACCCTTGTCTTTTATCTGTAACTCTCTATCCAGATCTTTCTGCTGTCCTCCTCAGATGAAAAGAAGGGCCCCTGCATTGAAGAGCTGTCATTTCCCTTTTTCTCACACACCTACTCACAGAGAGAATGTAACCCCACAACAGAGAAGTGTCAAGGGAATAAAACTGGAGTAGAAATCAAGTCCAAGAAACTTAGAAACTTAATTTCTCTGGACTTCAATTTCCTAATTGGCTATATAAATCACAGAACTCTCTCTTTGTAGATCTGGAATGGGACTTTGGTGTAGCTTATCCAACATGCTTGCTTGGCTGATGAGGAGAGAGGTGAGACTCTGAGGTAGAGCAGCTTCCTGGAAGTTATGCAATGTTAGCGCCACCTCTAGAAGGCAGATCTTCTGACCCCCAGTCTCTCTTCACCATATCTCGGGAGGACATATCCATATTTTAATGTCAAAATGATTCAATTAATGTCAAATTTATTCAATGAGTGTTGAAGTACAGGATAATTGAAAGGCATTCCTCTATGTGCTGACTAGTACAAACTCTATTAAGGAAATGTACTATGGGAAACCAAGATGCAGCTCATGCCTATTGTTAATATTATTAATATACTATTAATATTGATTACCTGGAAAAATGTGTCTTTTCCTATTTATCACTTTTTAAGTTTATAAGATTTTTAACCATTTGCAATTCATTTTTATCCTCAAAGTGAAATATTTACCAATTTAGGTGTATTTTGATAGATTTCTCCCCTTTCGTATTTATCATGTTATCCTCAGTGTCAGTAGCATTGACAAGAGAGCGTGTTTTCTTTCTTTAAACTATCTGTTTTGGTGATTTGATAATTCAGTAGCACAGAAGTAATCCCTTAGTGCAAAGGAAAATTGAAACCCTAAAAGACCAGGTTTTATCCCCTCTCTGTACATAAACAGTTTATCTTGGAAACTCCCGTCCCTTTCTCCATTCTCCCACCCTACCTTCCCTCTAGGTTTGCTTCTGTGGCTTTGTTAACCACTTGCCATTCTAGATACCCTTTCTTTCTGAAGATTCCGTAAGAAAGTAAAATTCTGTTTTTCTCGTTGTTTTACATGTGATGTCATTGATACACTTGTACTGATTCCTTTTTTTCTTTTATTTACCTCATCTTTATCTCTTCTCACTCATTCTGGAAGCCAATATGATTTCTAATACGAAGTTCATACTCATCTTTATGAATTCCCAAATGAACATCTAGTGTCTTATTTCTCACACATCTCAAGACATCTTGGATTAAAATCAAATCCTTCTAACCCTCAATAGGCTGAAGCCAAGATTCATGGGTTTGTTTTTTCTGAAACAAATCATAGCAGTTGCTGAAATTCTCCTATTGCTCTCTCTTCCCTAAGCAAGAAGTATAAGAAAGGTTTTAGATTTCTCTTTTATGCTTCTCATTTGCTTTGTATGTGTAGTCATTGCTAAATTCTCCCATGTCTTCTTCTAGTTAACCATTCCATTTCTGCCTGTGACTGCTGAGTTTCTATCCATTTCCCTCACATTGCCCTTCAGGCCTCTCTGGGCTTGAGTCCACCAACTTCTTAGAGAATGCCTTGTCGGCGTGTGAACTGGGATGCCCTTGAGCTCTTCAGGTTTCAGTTGCCTTAGAATGAATAGCACCAATACTGATGACAAACTAGCCTTTTGGCTTTGCTCAGGAGAATCATGAACTATTTTTAGATGAATCTCTACTCTTACCAATTTAGAACATGTACCTTTGTGATGTTTGGTATGGGATTGATGTTTTTTATCTTCTCTGCCCACTGAGGCATCATGTGGATGATTCCTCTGGGCTTTGGTTTCAATCTCTATAACTGCCTATCTTTCTAAAATGTCTTTTAAAATCTTGGGGCACCTGGTGGCTCAATTGGTTAAGCATCTGCCCTCAGCTCAGGTCATATTCCCAGGGTCCTGGGATTGACCCCTGCATTGGGCTCCCTGCTTAGTGGGGAGCCTGCTTCTCTCTCTCTCTCTCTCTCTCTCTCTCTCTGCAAATAAATAAAAATAAAATCTTAAAAAAAAGCTGTCTTTCAAAATCTCCAAAACAGAATTTTATGTACAACATATCATCTGTCATTTAAGTTAATTCCATCCCAAACACATCCTCCAAATGTGGAAAAAATCCATCCAGGGTTGTGTGTGTGTGTGTGTGTGAGAGAGAGAGAGAGAGAGAGGGAGATTATAACAAAGAGACAGAAACTTACATAGATAACTTGAATTTGTGTTGGCCTTTATATCTTGCATGACTCATTCATGTACCCATTTAATCCTTTTAACTAGCTGCTGCCTCTTTCAGAACTCTTTTCCCCAAAATGAAGTAGGTGATCCTCCTCTGGTTCCCCTTATTTATATTTATAAGGGACATTGGACAAGTAACTGTACCCCTTTGAATTCTGGTTTTACCATCATTAAAATGATGATTGCTTGAGCAGTGGGAGATGTGCCATCATTCATAGACACCCAGGAACTGACTCCAGTGCTTATTGGCAGAAGGCCTGGAGAACCTGATAAGTCTAGTCATCTTCTTAAAGGGAAGTACAGTGAGTGTGTGAATAATTTTGTCCTGAGCGTAACATAAGCCCTGGTTATGTATGAACAGTGCTCCAGAAAGAATTTAGACTTTCCTGATATGGCAAGCCCCTATCGTCAAGGACAGAGTCACCAGCAGCTACACACTTGATCAGGAACTCTTCTGGTTGGAGGGATACTGCTTCTCTTTGGTGCCCTTTGGCTTCCATTAAGTTTCTGTGCATCTGCCTAAATAAAAGGGGACTCAATCCAGTCTACAGCATGTGTGTTCTTTGGTATGGATTCAGTAATCCATATATAACCCCACTAGAACACTGCACTGGTATCTACCTGTGTGTAAACTGTTCTTTGTCCTCACATCCTCTTTTTTAAAAAAAAAAACCTAAGTAAGCACCATGACTACTCATCTTAATATCAGCCACCTCTTGTACAGCTCCTGATGTGTAATGAGGCCTCAAATTAGTTAACCGTGTGGAAAAACATAATGCAATTGTGTAAGATTTTGTGCTTTAAGGTACATAACATTTCTTATTTTATTTGAACTTTGCTGCCAGCAGCTTTTAAACTCTGATTCCAAAGAATACTGCTGTTCTCTTGAGCTGAACTGAGGACTTTTGCCTCTAAAATCTAATAATAAGAGTCTTCTTAATTAACTGAAAAATACCAATGAATAATGGGTTATTTTTTCCATTTTCTTTTTTTTTTTTAAGATTTTATTTATTTATTTGACAGAGAGAGATGCAGCGAGAGAGGGAACACAAGCAGGGGGAGTGGGAGAGGGAGAAGCAGGTTTCCTGTGGAGCAAGGAGCCCAATGTGGGGCTCGATCCCAGGACCCTGGGGATCATGACCCAAGCCGAAGGCAGACGCTTAACAACTGAGCCACACAGGTGCCCCTATTTTTTCCATTTTCAACTCCCTTCCTACACCATCATTTTTTTTTTCTTAAAAGCTTTGATTTCTATAGCTGGTTCAGCACAGAATTATGTTTTACTATTTTAATTTACATATTATTTCTTTTTTAAATTTTATTTACTTATTTGAGAGAGAGAGAGAGAGAGTGCACAAGCAGGGTGGGAGGGGCAGAGGGAGAGGGAGAAGCAGACTCCCTGCTGAGCAGGGAGCCCAACATGGGACTACATCACGGGACTCAATCCCGGCCCCCGGGATCATGACCTGAGCCGAAGGCAGACGCTTAACCGACTGAGCCAACCAGGCGCCCTAATTTATGTATTATTTCATGAAAATTGACTTTTAGGTGTTCAGCTTTTTGAGCAGATAACACTGTTCACAACAATAGCAAGTGCTATTAACTCTGTTTTATTGGGGGGTTTGGAATTTCCTGCATGAAAATTGCAGACTGGACAGTTCCATGTCCCATGCATGCCTTCTTTTATTTCAGCCTTCTATCAATATTATGATGTATTTTTATCACCAGGTTTTAAATGATGAGACTGTGTCACCAAGCAGTCAGTGTCACAGAGCCAGGAGAGGTGAATCTCAGTCTTCATGACTCCAAAACCCATGGTCCTCTCACTGTACGGACACATGATAGTTCTTAAGCCTAATCTTACTGTTAGGTTATAAGCTCCTTCAGTGCAAAGCTTATGTTTTATTTACTTTTTTCCTCCCACAGAAAATTCTATACAACTGGCTGTGGTTGTCTCCCCTTTCATTTTGGTTAGCAGTGCTTGCAAGGTGGGCCTTTTACTCTATTACATATATACAAGGACTTCCCCCAAATCATCTCCAGTACTTAGAATTACTTGTCTTCTGTTCTATAGTAGGATGCATCTGTCTGTCTTTAAGTTACAACTCAGTCTGTTCCTGTCAGGCACCTTCAAATGAGGCTTGGCAATTTAAAAAAACAAGTATCAAATGAATTTTAAATTGCCAAAGGAAAGGTTGTTTAAAACTCTCTGAGATAGTGGTTCATATTGAAATATGCTTATTATTAATTCCAGTGTGAAATGATTTATACTTGTTACTAACATGTTAAGACAGCCAAAGGAAAATTAGAAGGTGACTCAACAGGAGACATTCAAGTGTGGAATCCAGAAAAAGTAGAGAAGAACAAAACTTATTCCAGATGAGTTGGGAATATGTTTAAGGTCTAGCCACCTTCATTTGTTTTTTGGATAATGTTCCAAATAATGGGTACACTGGTACAAACCTGAGCTATCTTGTTCTGGGAGACACACTGTAATATTATGGCTATTGATTGAATGCTCAAACTCAAATTCATATTGTCATCGAATTATGTCTTAAATAACTTAGCATTTTGTTATTAAAACAGCTGTTTTAATGGTAAGTGAAGAGTCATAACAATGTCCTCAGAGTTGCAGGAAAATTATCTAGGGTTAAGAAAAATATATTTATTATCCAGGAAAAGTAACAGGTCCCTCTCTCTCTCTCTCTCTCTCACACACACACACACACACACGTATATTCTGTATATATTCATATATATGTGTGTGTGTGACTCAGCTGAAAAAACAGTACAGTTGTCAATCACTAAAATTTCCATTTCTGTGCCTCTGAATCAACTTATTTTTGGATCTTGGTGTCCCATGCTGGTTCTACTTGCTTTTGTTTGTTTTTAGATCATTGGCATGCAATGTCCTAGTCTGGGTTAAATGTTTAGAAACTAACTGGAGTTTCATAGAGTTTTCCCCATTCTCATCTTAATTTTCAGGATAATAGGTTGCTTCTGAGGATATCACATTTAGACTGATGTGTCCACTTTATGTTAAGGGTAATTCAGATCACCTGAATCAGCGGAAGTAGTGGCACAGGACTGGGACCCTATTGTCTTGAGATTTTTATGATATTTTCTCTTCCACTTATTTTCTTTTAATGTCTCATTCAAGAGAGTGGCCAGCCATACAGCCATTGCTGTGTCAGTTGCTTAAGAAATTTTTAGATGGAAATGGAGGAATTAGGGAATAATGTAGTGAAATGTTTATTAATAAAAAAGAAATAATGGACTGTAAACTTGGACTTTATAATACCTTTTGGTTAGCGTTTCAACCTCAGTAGCATGTTAATTTCCTATTATAAAAGAAGTTATTTTTTAAAAAGCAACAAGGATAAGAAGAGTCTGAACAAAGATGGAAGGTATTAGCGTCTATATTTTGTACACAGAATAAAAATGTTGGAGCACATATAAAAATCAGATTTGTAAATAATTTCAAAATGGATTCACTTTTTGTAACTGTACCATAGAAAATGAAATATGAAAAAATGTTCTTTTAAGCAGCAGTAGCTCGAGAGAGTTGGGGAAGATTCTGCAGAATATTGATAAATGGAGAATTGCATTTCTACTGTTTCCCACTTTTTCCCCACAGCATGCAAATAAAAAGTTAATTTTTACATGAGAGCAATTTTTAGACCACAAAAGGACTTTTTTGAGAGTTTCCTTTACAGTGGCCAATTTTGTATGAAACAAATTATTTTAGGCCTAATTGCAGGCAGACTAGTTAGGTCGCCAGCTCTGTTAAGGTTGAATTTCACTTGAACTTTCTAATAGTATGATCTTTTCTCAGAATTTAATAACTGGCTCAAATATTTAATAGTGGAAGCTTTCATTATATTAAAAAGAAATCAAGATATATTTTTAGAAGAACTAACTTATTTTCCTTATCAGTTTTATCGACTTTGGGAGAAAAGGAAGAGAATGGAGCCAATCTCTTTCTGTACTTAAATAGACATTAATGCTATAACCCCAGCAAGTAATATATTTTAGTGTATATCATTATTCAAAAGATTTAGGAAGCACCAAATGGCAGCAATAACTATACTTCTAGCTCTACTGAATAGCAAATTGCACTGACTGTGTGAACCTCTTCACTTGTGTGCTGGATAATCATTCTTTTTAATACTCAGATACATTCTCTAGATCAGTTGCAGTTGCACACTGTCAACTTCTGCATTGCCTAATGGTTTTTGGTTAAGTACAATGACTTGTTTTGAAATGCAAGTGGGAAAGGATGAGAGTTGAAAGATTTTGTTTCTATGCGTCAGTCTATAAATAGATGACAAAAGATCATTAAATGGATTAATTTACAAGCATCCTTAGAAATAGAATGTTTTTACATAAAAGCATGTTGTAAACCTTTTTAATTAAATTGCATTGTACCATGCACTCTCTTCTCCCCAGGGTTCTGTTGACCTCTCACCTCTTATTTTGTCCTACAGGCACTCCATTGCTGGTGAGGAGAAGCAGTGACCCAGCGCCAGGCCCACCTGCTGATGCCCAGCCAAGTGCTTCACACCCCAGTGGCCAGAGTCTGAAACCTGTTATTCTAGTAGGTATCCTGCAGTTTGCCTTTCTAATGAAAGATCAAAGTGCCTTTACCCATAGACTAACCAGGACTTCACAGTCTTAAGTAAGTTGATCATTAGAGAGTGTTTGATAGGACATATAGTATTAGTAATAGCAACTATGAGCTATCCCTAGAACTTACATTCTAACAATTTACATAGCACTGATTATGTGCCAAGGACTCTTTTAAGTGCTTTACAATAAGTCGTTTAAACTTCCACATCAAGGTGGGCACAAATTTTTGCCTCCATTTTACTGATAATGCCATTGAGGCAGGGGGAGGCTTAGTAGTTTATCTAAGGTCACAACTAGTAAGTGACACAGTCAAGAATTTAACCCAGGTGGTTTGGCTCCAAAGTCCGTGCTCTTAACCAGCACACCACACTGTTGAATTTCCTCCATCCTCCTGTTTTAGTGATGCCCAAGGATATCATTTTATATATCTTCAGTGTGTTAATGCAGGGCTTTGTGAAGTCCTGCCATGGTGAATGGTCATAGAGTTTCAAGATACCAATACCATGTAAATGTGGTGCTGGTACTGGGTTTCTAGAACTCAGCATCCAAACGAAAGAAAAGTAAAATTATATACCAGAAGTGCTTATAACAAGATGCACTTATAGCTGATGGGTTAAATGGAGAATGAATCCTGAAGAGATGATGTCTCCTTTCATATGGTACTGTCGGATCTTTCTGATAAATCCTGAGTCACTTGGAAGAGTTGTGACTGTGGTCCATCCTTGGAAATAGCCTGAGAGTTAGATTTTGGTTAATGGGTATATATTTTTGCAATAGGTGATCTTCAATAATGTAGCCATATTTAAAAGTTTCCTAAAAGCAAGGCTCTTCCCCATTTTAAGTCTCACTGTCTATAGTGCCTTAAGAAAAAAAGCAATATTTTAGAGTTATATAAGGGTGCTGAATGAACTAACCAGATTCTCACCAGTTTGGTATAAAAAGTTCTTCTCAAGAACCAGTGCCAATGTATATGAGTTAGGAGTCACTATACCAAACCATTGAGTATTTACTAATAGGTTTGTGGCAATATTTTAGCATATTTCTTTCTGTAAACAAGGAAGCAAGTGTCCTCATAGTATTTTATTTTATTTTTTTTAAAAGATTTTAATTATTTATTTGACAGAGGGAGACACAGCAAGAGAGGGAACACAAGCAGGGGGAGTGGGAGAGGGAGAAGCAGGCCTCCCACTGAGCGGGGAGCCTGACGCGGGGCTCGATCCCAGAACCCTGGGATCATGACCTGAGCCGAAGGCAGACGCCTAACGACTGAGCCACCCAGGTGCCCCAAGTGTCCTCATAGTATTTTAGATGTAATGTCTCCCCACCATCCTTTAAAGGAAACATATTTAATGGAACATTACTTTAATAAAAATCAGGTGTATGGGTTCTACTTTAATGGTGAGTTTAAACAGAAACAGTATTTAACACACTGATTGAGACTGTGTGAAGCCCAAGTATATTGGATTGAAGGAAGAGAAGCTATATAAATGAGAAAAGTTACAGTTTACTGCTTATTTTTACAATGTCAGTATACCCCAAGTCAGAGTGTATCTGATTGTGTTATCATCATTTACATGCAGAGAATCACCAGTATTTAGTTCAATGTTTTTATCACTTAGGTTCTGTGTTTAGACTAATTGAAAATACTCAATAAGGCTTTCCCTACAGGAAATGAGGACTAGTATATTTCTGATAGATTACATATTCTTACCAAACTAGGACACCATTGAATTCTAAGTTGAGGTATTTGGTGAGGGAGTATATTATTGCTAACAAAGATGCAAATCCTGATTCAAGAAGAAAGGCTGGCTCCCCAAATCCTAACCGTATGCAAGTTACCAAGCAGTGGCTGAGTCTGTCTATATCAACAGTAAAAAGGAAAACACATTTCTTCCTTTCCTCAGTGTTCTCTGTGGCTGATGAAATGCAGACCCCGAAGAATAGACTCTGGTCTTTGACTTGCCACAGAACACTGGCACATCCTAGCCTTCTCCTTTTTCAGTTGTAAAATAATGTCCAAGCAAACTTTAAGCCTTAACAGTCCAAGGTGCAAACATTGTGCTTATTATTTATCTTTCTATTTCTAGTGCCAAGTACATGGAGGGTGCTCACTGTATATGTGTTAGACTTAGGAATGCAGGCACATATTAGTCTGGGAAAAGTTCTAGAATTTCTCAGCAGTTTACCCACCTTTTCTAATTTGGCCATTCTCTCTGTTCCCCAAAACAACTGCCAGGTAAAGTTGTATCTGCTCCAAAGTCTGGTTCACCTCAGGCAGGAAACAGATAGTTTAACTGCTGTGCTATGAAAAGCAGGCAAAGTTAGAAAAGAAGGACATTTAGTTGAGTCTGTTTTTACCCAAAAGAAAAATACGTGTGTGTGTGTGTGTGTGTGTGTGTGTGTGTGTATTATGATTCTGTTCATTTATTCCTGCGTATCCTAACTCATGGACTATTTAGACTGCATTGTCCCATATTATAGCCATGGCCACGCGTGGTTATTGAGCACTAGAAATGTAATTTGAGTGTAACATACATAATGGATTTTAAAGATTGAGATATAAAAAAGAGTAATATGAAAGACCTCGTTAATAACTTTTATGTTGACTACACATCGAGATAACACTATGGTATATTAGGTTAAGTAAAATATATCATCAAAATTATTTTCACCTGTTTCTTTTTAAAGCATGGCTGCTAAAAACTTTAAAATTAGATCTATGGCTCACATTCTATTTCCATTGGACAGAACAGCTCTAGACAGAAGTAAAATTGGATATAGCATTAATGAAATGGTTTGAGACCCTTGAGAGAATTTCTTGGAGTTGCGTATCATCTCTGGGGTAACAGTATCATTAGGTTTGCCTGGGGCAGTCCTCATTCGTGCCCGTTGTTCTGGCATAATTATTAATAGTGTCCCCACTAACTCTCAGAGGTGTCCATGCACGGATGATAAATTGTGTGGCACCCTACATATAGCCCCATAGTCACTTTCATTGTTTGCTCAGCGATAAGAGGAACGGCCTTTCAAGGAAACCATGGGAACACAACCACAACTCTCACACCGGAGCACACTGCAGAGAGGGGTTTGTGTGGCCAGCCCCTGAGCCCAGGGAGTACAGAACTGGAGACTGCAGATTCTTTCCCATCTCTCAGATTCCATAGTTCCACTTGGTGCTTCCTCCGCAACTTCAGCTGCACCATATTTGATGCCCATGAATTAATAAGTGATGATGAATATGGGGAGTGTGTGATAATTCAGCCATGGTGCAACTAACATGGACAATAATTGCTTAAAAACTCTGTTCAATTGCATTGCATTTCAATATCCAAAGGAAGAAAAACAATCAAAATTTCCATCTCTTAAACAGAGTGTTCACATGTAAGTAATTCACAGATGGCAGAGCCCCAAGTGGGTTATGTTCAGTCATTCCCAAGAAATGAAACTTACTTATAACCCACAGCTTAAAAAGCTGGAAGGATGAATATTTGACACATTTGATTATGTTGAAATATTGCCTTTAAAACCACAGTTGATGACTGTTATTTTTGCTTGCACTTCATTAGGCTTATTATAACAGGAGGAACTTTCTCTGATGCCCAGAGATGCATGTTTGTGAAAAGTTGGAGAAATTACACTTGTTTTCTGGCTGGTTAAATTATTACAAATTGGTTATTTAAGATGTACACCCTCAGATAAGGTGAAGTTTTAAAAAGAGTTCAAATTAGAAAAATCAAATTCTCTACAAGTCTCAGATTCTGTGTATTGAAAAGCCACCAAATCTCACTCTTTGTTACTTAGGGTACCACCAGCTAAACAGCATGGAAATTTATTTTCTTTCTTCCTCTTTTCATAAACCCATCAGTTAATCAGAATAGCATAATTATTAATGTGCAAATTGTAATGACTATTTATCTTTCAAGGCAATAGAAAATCCAATTCTACTGACTGCTTTTGAATTAAAGAAAGGGAATCCTGGGGGCAAGATGTAATAGTGGGAGTCTGCTTATGGGATGTCTTACCTCCCCTGCCTTGATTGTAACCTGGTGTTCTTGGCTTAAGGGCATGCCATAAAACCAGGTTCTTGAAATTGATGTTCCCGAATTTGTGGGTGGAAGAGAACTCTAAAACAGATGTGATTTTTTTTCTTAATATCCGGTTAACTACTATGGTTGTTTTGTGTTTTAATGACTGTTTATAGTTTCACATTTAACCCCTAAAGCAAAATGATCCTGCAGGGCGAGTAAATTAAAAAGTGGATTCCTGAAAATTATAATGCTGCGGTTGTTCTTGGATAGTAAATGACTTTGTTTGTTCTAAAACTGTTACTTGTCTTGCATCACCAAAATAAATTAAGAAAATATTGGTCTGTCTTTTAAAAGTTCATATCCACAACATATACATTTTCTTTTTTAAAAATAACATGGCAATACTTTAGGTTATTAAATTGGGAGTCCATGAATGAGTGTCAGAGGGTCTGTTAACTCTGAAGTTTGATGCTGTGGACCGTTGCATGTGCATGCATTTTTTTTGTGAAGGAGACTCTATTACTTTTTTTTTTTTTTTTGAGTCTCTCTCAATCTTATCAAATTTTAAAAGGAAAACAATGATCAAGAACTACTTGTTTGCAGGTTTAGGATGAAACAACGTGGGAAAGCCGTCAATCCTCAGAATTTGATGAATGATAGAGATTAAGAATGCAGTAGGAATTGACACCACCCCCCAAATATTGAATAATTAAGGCTATTTCATCTTATCACCTTGCCTATCCAACACATAGCATATAAACTCAAGATGTAAGGATGAATAGAAGTTTTTGAATTGCTGCTTTGAGAGTTCAGCAATAACTCTTTAGTGAGTAGCAACTGATTCTCAGCAAGAGTAGGATTGGAGGTAAAGGGAAGACACCCTGGGGAGAAGTGTTTCCAGTGGTCTTGCATGTTAAGGGAGATGAGATGGTTCTTGGTA